CTATTCACAATGATGAGTACGTGTGATGGAATTGGTATAGGTACGGGTAATCATGATATGATTTATTTGGATCCTTTTTATATTTGATTTATGGATGGGTGGCTTGATTTGCATTGGCGGTCATTGGCATGGAACAATATTTACACCACCTTTTTTGTTATATACTCGCCGCTGATCGGCTTGAGGATATTAGGAGAGGACGGGATTAGATAGAAATTTCTTTTCCCGACGAGACGTTTTATACCTTTAGTTGTGCATAGTTTTTGTGGTGTGGTTGGTGATTTTTTTGGTGGTGCTAGATGCATGGAAAGGTGATAGACGATGAATGCATTAAGCATGGAAAGGGGATGGAAAGATAGATGCGAGAAGAGAAAATAAGAAATCAAATATGAAATACGTTGTTATTAATTATCTGCTTGTTCTTTATGAATAAAGTTTGTGATTGATTTGTACTTGTTGATGTGGTTGGATGAATTGCTATACATACAATATCGACGGAAGTTTCGAGTGAAACTCTCTTTCTTTCCCCCTTTCTTCGTCTTGTTATACCTACGAGTATCTACATATCCAATCCCAAAAATTTCTATAACCTACCTAGTATCTACCATCTACCCATACGACACACCAACCTAGAGGAACAAAGATATTCACACCTTAGTCGTCATGGATGTCGTCGTTGTTATACTCTATACTCAGGGACTCACATTTCATTCCTTCTTTTCATCTACCGCCTACCACCAAATCTCTATCTCCACTCATCGAAAACTCCTCTCCTCTCCTCCGAAACCCCCATCAAAAATCCCGTCAAATGCAATCGGAAATACAATAACTCGACACGAGTACGCCTGTAGAAATAAATACTGGGTATGTTTTTTCTTTCGTGTTTTGAACGGAAATTTGGTATCGACATGTAGATTGATGACCAAATATTGGTAGGAGAGATGTCTGTTATAAGTACTTAGGTAGGTAGGTACTCGAGGAAAGAATCGAGGAATTGGTGAATTGAGGAACTGACCCGTCTTTTGAGAGGCGACTACCTACCTACCTCCAGCTACCTAGGTAGTTATATCAAGGTGCGAATCGAGGTTGAGTGAATATCAAGCAGCGAGGAAACTGGAGAAGAAGGTGAATAAATGTACTCGCATGCAGGTAGTTCCCGTTAGTCTCGCCACACTTTGAGTTTTTCCTTATACTAGGTACCTAGGTAGTGTTATATAAACCCCCTCCCTATAAGTTTCAATATCTATCATTCTACAAGCCGCTATTTTTATTGGATAACAAGGCTCGTCTTTTCTCTCTCGCTGTATCGATTGAGATCTCCAGGTAGGTAGTTATTCAACATTTAACATGTGATTCTCTACCTCTGATCAAGGGAATGCGAATGCGAACGCGAGATGTTGTTGTAGCTACTATTCCTTCGTCTAGTTTTGTCAAAATATTCGTCGCTTTGGATGGGGTCTTGTTGTTGTTTATAAGGAGTAATGCTATCGTTTAATACCTATATATATCAATAAACTATCTGGTGTAGTAAAACGTAAAGTCTATAGAATACATAATCTCTATCAATTTCTACACAACTCAAACGCGTTCAGCGAGTAATAGGATAGGATACGGGGCTAGGCAGATGCATCTCGATTGCTTCCGTTCATGGAAATCATATCTTCTATTTGTTGATGGCAATGATGTTTTACTTTCAGATCTGTAGTTTCTTAAATATCCCATATTGGATAATTTTTAAGAGGAGAATAAATCCAGGAGCCTAGCATCATGTAAGAATATTTGGTTAGTGAATCATATGTATGGCTTGATCATCATGTTGATTTCTACATGTGCTGCTTTGAGATTCATTGAGTAGGTAGTGCCAATCTTTTGAAATCTGTAATTCTGCGGTATTTAAGAACGAGCCATTATGTATTCTAATAATGTAATGGTGCCACCTGCCTCTCGACAAGTCAATGGGGTTTTCCGTCGACTATAAAAGATAGGGACCAGAACCAAAAGATGATAATACGATTTCGAATGGGAGACTGAGAGGTATTGTTTCTTCATCCGTAGTATGAGAGACAATTGAATATCAGGATTTGGGTTTCTCTGAAAATTTTCGCTGTTACTGAAAAACGCATGACACGGTTATGATCGCTGAATTTCTTGTCGCTGTCAATCTCTCTTTTTCTTCTGTGTGTATCTGATATAAATTTCCAAATTCCCGGTGATAACCAAGTAAGATATCTAGGTAGTTGTCCAAACCTTCGTTATGTGAATTTTCTATGACTAGAAAATCACTTGGGTTTACACAGAACGATGAACTGAACTGAACTGAGCTGAACAGGATCCTTGAGTCGACTTTAAAACTGTGCTCAAGATTTGCAGCTTCAGGTAATAGATGAGCAATCTCTTAAATGCATAGGAAGTCTAAAGCGAATAGAAGCTTGAAAGGATGTTCAAGCGGGGTAAATGATATTTTGGGATTACAGATACTATTGGGAAACGGGGAGGATGAGGAGGGGTAATTGGGGAGAATTGGTAGATCATATGTATATATTGAATATAAATAAGTACATTAGTTTTGATTTAGTGAATCAACAAGAGCTAGTCCACACTGCTAGCGATCCATATCTAACAGCAAGGGTCATTTGAAGACAGCCTACTTGCTTTAGAATTCAACATATATCGAAAGTACTGGATTACTTAATCGATAGGTCTGCAGCCAGACGGTCATTCCGATTAGAGAAGTACTCTCCCGCTGATTCGATAAAGTATTGATCTATATCTCATTTTGAAAAGTGTCGAACTATCAGGAAATTTTTAAAACCCTACCGCTATGACTACTCTCCATTGTCAATGGTAAACTCACCATTCTCATTGTCTCCATGTACTCATATCAATAGTTCAAATAACAACAGTAAGAAAAATAACAAACCCAGAAGTTCGGGCTCAGCTAGCCAGCTGAAAATAACACATCATTCGCTGCCGGTATTAGTACATCCTATTGAGGGTGGACTCGACGTCGGAGTTCACCTTAGGTGAGACTGATATTCAGCATTGTAGGATTAAAGGACAGAGGAGGATTCAGCACGGCCTTTATACCACCAATTTTTCTTTTCCATAATAGTCAGAGAGATAGAATTTGGATGATTTAAAGAGTAGAAAGACGGGACTAGGTGAATTGGTGCGAAGTAAATACTGAAGTACAATTTTCAAGTAGTGTGATTACAGCCAAACGAATCAATGCCGAGTTATTTAAAGACCGTTCTCCAGTTTGAAGTAATGTAAAGACCTTAGGAACTTTCGAAGCTACCGCTACAATGGAAAATTGGGATTTGCTTTGTGTCCGATCTTGTTTCCGACATCTCAGTATGTGTGGAAATGCTTCATTATAGCCGTGATTGTCATCTATATCTCAGATAATTGGAAACTAGTGAAACTTCACTGTCAATAAATCGTCGACGTTATCGATCTTAGCCGCTCCCTCTTAACTGCCCTCCGCGTTGCCACTAATCGCATTATTACTTCAGATAATACGAAACAAGTGATGCCCAAAAGATTCGAATCGAACTGGCTTGAAACCTACGCTGCTTGACACTGGTTTTGGTGTAGTTTCAGCGAAGCTGTCTCGACCTCATTAAATGTAGATCCATTGCTTTCATAGCATGGAGATACAAGGAAGGTATGAGTGGGATTTTATATAGCACGTCCATCATTCTCAACAGTGTGAGTTTACGATTGAGGAAAACAGTGAATCGATAAAAAGAGGGGTTGCGGTTGGCAAGTGAATTCCCTGTTCTTGCTCTTCGACCACGCTTTTGACAGTCCATAATAAATACACAACTTAGCATAAATTTTCTAGGCCCCCCATTCCATCTTTATATGCTCCCAGGGAAGATCGTTCGTGCTATAGCTAGCGTGTTCTTTAGCATCTCCAGATAGTTTCGCATAATCCTTAAACGTTGTCTAGGGTGGTTTGAAGGCGCATATTCCGGGGGTGGAGGATTCAAAGAGGAATGATTTAATGAGACCGGCAATTGATTGTAAGCTGATGATAGCTTTCTACTATCCCTCACCTAATCACCACTCGAAACTCTGTTGTAGAAAGGTCATCAATCATCTGTCCATGGCAAAGAACATAAGCAAATGAGGCGTAGTGACCTCTACAACTTCATTCAATCGAAAATTTCAGTCACAATGAAGAGAGGGGTAATCTATAGATATGTTTTGAATAGCCAGAAACGATATTATTAGCACAGCTGACATGATACTGGATAAAAGCAGCCACGAGATAACAAATATTCAAATTTCTATATACTAATAAGATATGAGAGGGTTAATAAACATCACAACCTATCAGGCACGTCATACCAAGTGCCGGGTAAATACTAAAAAAAAGCAAAACCTATGAAGAATAAAGCCATCATTTTCATTATCGTGATCCGTTGCGCGGCGTTGCATGTGATTTCTGCGGGGGCCAAATTTTATCGTACTAGGATAGTGATTGGATGTAATGGTACGATGCAATGAGGCTCTAGCCGAAAACAACCAGCACCCATAGATTAAACTATTGAATTACTTCCACATTCGAATATCCATGTATTCTGACTAGCCAATCATATGTGTTGATATTCATGTGACCATTGCTTGCGATTCTAGTGCTGGAATAATACCAATGACTGAAATTTCGTGAACTCTGACGAAGCGCGAGTCTGATGTCTTGTCATGGTATTGGAAGCTTCAACTTTGGTACGAAATTTAAACCCCCGATAACGGCTGTCCAGCTGTCAGTAATATCCAGGGTCTAAATTTTTATTTGTGGCGCCAATCTGCATGCCAGATTCAGGAGCAGGGCCAATTTTTCATGTAGAGTGAAGATCGTCCCATCAGGTTGCATTGAGTGCTCTCGCCGCACACCTGCATATCAGAAGGTGGGTAAGTGTTTATTATCTAACACCGATGTTCAAAGATACTCAAGGAATGTGCTTTTCTCATTTTCCTTTTGAAGGCGGAGAAGAAATTGGAGAAATTGAAGATATTCATGATTTCGTAGTTTTCGCCGTTAGGAATGATGAATTTATTCATTCTTTTCCTCTTCCTTATTCAAAGCGAGGCAATCACCATACCTGAATCTCCACTCCCCACACCTGCTTCAAGCCTGCCAGTCCAAATGAGAGCCCGTCAAACGACGTCGTTTGGTACACTTTGTGGATATTCAAATGGCGACATCGAAATTCCTCGGACAGCTGAACCTGGATATGCTTGTCGCGAAAATACTATCGATAATTTATGGGGATTTTGCCCAAACACTATAGCTGAAGCTACCAATTGTGATTTTGTTGGCTACTGTGTCGACGATGGCACTTGCTCTACCGGTTGTGGGAGATCTAGTCTGACACAAATTTATTGGTGTGTACATTATTTGACTGTTGGACATATAGCCTGTCACTTGAAGACTGATTTTACTATAGTACAAACGAGATGCCTTATTGCTCAACAGCTTTATTGGTTTCCGAAGAACAAACATATACATATCTCACATGTGCGACATCGCCAACCACCAACTTTTATCTGGCCAATCCAACAAGCAGTTCTGTTTCGACAGTTTCGTCGGCTTCGGGATCACAAGTACCGACGACACAATATTACTCTACCATTGTTGTCGCAACGTCCTCATCAGCTCCTGGTACGCAGTCGACTAGTGCGCAGTCAACTAGTGCGCAGTCAACTAGTGCGCAGTCAACTAGTGCGCAGTCAACTAGTGCGCAGTCAACTAGTGCGAAAGCCTACCAACATGTTGGAGCCATAGTTGGAGGAGTCCTTGGAGGCCTTGCTCTTATTTTCCTTATTGTTATTGCTCTGATCTTCTTGAAACGATATAAACCATCAACTTCACTGAAAGGCGAGAAAGATATCAATGGGGAATCAATAGCCTTTACAGGACCTGTTGCCGACAAAGGCGGATTGCACGAACTTTACGATTATAGAAAAGAGGCCAGGGAGCTTGATTCTACCACCTCGGCAATGAAAGAAATTCGGATTGAAGTCCGGAGTCTTGAAAGGGAATGAGACAACAAGAAGAAATACTGCTGCGGTTGAATTGGATATAGCGCCTTGATGCGTTCAAATAAATCACATGTGTTATAGGTCTGAAACTATTCCTCAAATGACAATCATCTGGCGACATTATCTCTGATTTGGCCATTTTTTATGCAAGGGAGGTATATCGCTCGCAGAACAGTCATCGAACGGATATAGATCGAGGCATGTTGATAATGTTATTGTCCCCTAGAGCTAGAAGCAGCGGAACAAAGCGATGGCGACATACCTGCTTTAAGCAATTTAGGACTCTGCAGCCAGGAAGTCAAACCATCCAGAATTCTACCTGCTGGAAGGACTATTGGTGGTCGATAAAACCACATTGAATCCATCCATCGAAATGTTGATAATGTCGACGTTGAACTTCTCACAAAATCCTCGGGTTACGCAGAGGTGGACGGACCTTTCGAAATGCACCATTAATTTGATTGGACAATATGTAAAGATGCACGTGATTGAGCTTAAGCATTCTTTTGTTGCATGTCGTTATTCTGGGAGAAGTTTTGCGAAGGATTCCCAAAACCGCCCGAAAGGTTCCTCCCAAATTCCCGGGATTCCCAAGACCGCCAGAAACAAGTTCTCTACCCCCATCAATAAATACTTCACACAATTTGGTCCGCAGTGATTCGATTGACTTATTTAATAACTCTTGATCCAACACCTAGGTATTCCTATCAATTTTCATATTTTACTAAATGATTTGATTATGGCGAAAATAATCTCTGCTACTTGATCGTCAAAGTCCATTCTCAGATTTTATCGTTCACTTCAAGCGATGGGAAATGTTGATTTATATGAAGTCTAGGCTAGCTTCTTCTTTTTTGCATACCCTTTTCCTTCTCTCGAAAGCAGATGTCACTAATACATCTACGTTTTATTCGAAACTGCCAACCATGGAGATCAGTCAGCCTTACCTGATTCTTTCGCACAAAGCTGATTCCGTGGAAGCAAAAGTTTGACGTAATGGCTGAGGCTCTGTACAATTTCCCCCTCATAATGGAAGTCGCGATGCGCAATGTATTTGTGTATCTGTTGTGAACAGGTAGGTAATCTGGAGTACGACTACCAGATTCAAATTTGCTATTTCCTAATCTGGATCTCTTTGGGAATATATGTGTAGGAAGAAAGATTCTTCAATCCAAAAGTCCCTCGAGTTTAAATGCGAGACACACTCACATTTATGGTCTTCTCTTCAATTCCTATCGCCCAATCCTCGAATCATGGCTTCAAGTCTCACAGTATCTCTCGTGGCAGCTTTTCAAGCAAGCATGGCTGTACTCCTGGTGATATTCTACGGTGCTCTATCGGTATACATGAAGCTTCTCGATAGCAAATCTGCCAAAATGATGTCCAAAATCTCAGTCAAATTCTTTCTACCCGCACTGGAATTTGTCAAGATCGGCAGAGAATTACATGCTGGAGGAGGCCATCGTTACAACGTCATTTTGGTGTGGGCATGCTTAACACATACGATTTCATTCTTGATTGGTGCAGGTGCTCATTTCATCTTCGGGATGCCAGATTGGATTACCGCAACTATTATGTTCAATAATACGACAAGTTACCCTTTAATGTTGATTCAAGCTTTAGATCAAACTGGTCTTTTAAATCCGTTACTTCTAGAAGATGGAGGAACAGGATACAATCCAGTCGAACAGGCAAAGTCATATTTTCTTGTTTACTCGGTTCTCTCGAGTTGTCTGACATTTGCCATTGGTCCTCGTATGATGGATACAGAATTTGCAATTGATCCGCCCGATGAAGAGGATCTTTTGTCTGCACTCGCACAGGTACAACAGGACAGGGAGGGTGAGAGTGAAGATGATAATGAAAGATTACATTTTCCGACCGAACACACGAATCTTCTTTCGCCTCCGCATCGACCAGCAATTTCTAGCAGATCTACCTCCTTTTTCCCATCGAGACGTGCTTCGGCTACTATGACACCTCCTACACGAGATACAAATCGAGCAATCGCATACGAAAGACGTCCTTCCTCTATTATAAGTAGACGAAGATGGTTTGAACTTAGTGATCGAGTTCGATGGTGGTTACTTTTCTTTTACGACTTCTTGAACGCGCCTCTTCTTGGTGCCATAGCCGGTGCAATTGTGGGACTATCACCGGTTCTCCACCGAGCATTTTTCAACGAAACAGTCGACGGGGAATTTTCACAGCATGGCTCACTGCATCTCTTGAAAATATTGGAATTCTATTTGTCTCTCTGCCCGTCGTAGGTGCAGGAGTATCACTCTACTCAGCCGTTACCAAAACTAGTGAAAAGGGAAAGGGTAAGGAACCTACTAGCACACCCTGGTTTACAACTTTCTACGTTCTTGCAGTACGATTCGCAATTTGGCCTGTTATTTCTACGGGAATCATTTACTATTTGGCGAAAAATACAACTTGGGTGGGAGAGGATCCAATGCTTTGGTTCTCGATGATGTTCATGCCGTTAGGTCCGCCGGCTGTTAAACTTATCACAATGGTAGAGGTCAGTGATGCTAAGGAGGAAGATCAACATAAGGTTGCTAAATTACTCGCGGTAAGTTTTATTGGTCTCTCATGACGAATAGTAACTAATTTTCAGAAAGATTTCGTATGCTATATCTCCAGTCATGTGTTTTGCGGTGGTAGGAAGTTTGAATGCATGCCAGGCGGCAAAAATTTGATGGTTTAATTTCATGACTTTTTCGCATGCTCATGTCATGGGTGGTAAAATGCGGAAGAATTTTGAAGCTTTTGAGGAGCATTGTCAATGTGTGCGAAATATGAAGTTGAGATGGTTTTCAAGAGGAACACCGGCATACAAAATACGCTGCTTTGCATCTTTCATCAAGCTATTTGCATTTTATCATTAGATCTTGATTTTCTTCATACTATAGCTTAGATTTTGGTTCGTCAAGAGAATTAGAACTTATGGCGCCTTGTTTTGACGTGTGAATGCTTTCGCGAAGGGTTTAAGATATCATATCCCTTTACATGACCTCCGACTATGTGACGAAATTATACGGAACCTGAGTGGAGTATCATTATGATGGTGATTAATACAGCTTCAAATATTTGACATCGATCGGGACAGTAAACAAAATCAAAACAGTATCTCGCCACAATAGTATTAGTTCCATATCACATTTCCCAAAGTCAACCCTGATGTACCTGTTATTTCCTAGTATTGCTACAATACACACACATACACACGTACATAAATATATTTCTTTCTCTTTTTTTCTTCTCTTACTCTTCTCCTTTCTATAGAAGAAGGAAGCAGTAGAGTCGGATCTAGCGAATGGAGATTATTAAATTCATACACACACACTCTCTCTCTCTCTCGATAATAGAATATGGAAATATGAAAATATGGGTAGATTTTAAATACTAAATATTAGGTAGTAAATGTAAATATAAATGTAAATCCAATTGTGATTCTTTGAAGTTTGATATGTGTATCTAGATAAGCTTGAGTGATGTTTTGAATTTTTGGTGATTTTGTTTATTTATCGATGTTGTGTTTTGTGTGGAGATTTGTATGGAAATTTGGATTGGGAGATGGGTGTGGGTATGGAGAGGGAAGAGGAGGGAAGGGGAGGGTGTTGGGGTGTATTGAGTGCCGGTCATTTTAGGGTTTGTGATTCAAAGAGATAATGGAGGGGTAGATAATGCAATAGGATGGGGTGGGATGAGATGGGATGGGAGGATCGTTGAATAGGTATTTGCTTTATAGAGGAGATTTGCTCCTCGCGAGATATATCATATGCATACAAAGTGTATATAGTAGATATATATATACCGCTCAGCTCTCTAGACCATAATATCAATTTGATATCTCATATCTATCCAGCCAGTGAAATCCATCTATCCATTCATCTACTCCATATACACTTACCTACTTCCTATTTATCACATACCACACATACCACACATCTCACTCCAGAGCAAGCAATCGAGCAATCAAACAATCAAGCAAGAAATCCACAAACAAACAAAAAGCAAAGAAAAATGACCCCTAAAACTCCCTCCCCTTCACCCACTCCTACCCCGCGTACTACCAACACGAATTCAAATTCGAACTCGACTCCCCACCTCCATTTTCGACACCCAACTCCTTTCTCTAATTTCGAGCTGGGCTTACCGTGGCATTTGATTGGGGAACGGGGAGGGGGTTATTGATAAAGGAGGAGAACGGAGGGGAGAGGCAGACATGACATATTCGCTCTGCAGGTACAGGAAAGGACGGTGGTATAGATGTGTAATTTCTGGATTTCTTTGGTGTTGTATTCGAGATGAAGAGGAGAGTTTTAGTTCTCCACGCTGATAATTCATATTCCTGTGGTATGGTGGGGGGGGGGGGGGTCTCTTGGCTAAGAAGAGGAAGATGTAGGTAGTTACTTTTAAATGTTCCCCGGATACGTGAGAAGAGTTCTCGAGTGCGAACTCTATAAGCTTGGAATTTATATGATGGATGTGGAGCACTCCCATTCAGTTCAGTTGATGTATCTTTCGATATGTCGAAGTTTCGCTTGAAGGATATACTATTGCGGAACGTTTACCTTTTATTGTGTACCGAAGAATCTCTTCATGAAGTGTCAGGCTATAGATCTGTTGCATCGAGAGTAAAATCTTCTAATGCGATGTGATTTTTTCTTATATGGAGCTTTCCATCTTCTTGTCATAATTGGTCTTATCTCGCGAGTTTCATAGATAACTTTTTCAATATGTGTTGACCAACGATTTTGTGGTGTATGTTGTTTTTCTCTTGGGGGACCGAAGAGGGAGGTCTTCACTTCAAATGAGATTCTTATTTTCTTGACATCACTGGATTACCTCTTTCGATTATTGTCCCAAGTAATTAGATTTCAGATATGATTCGTACAATTTACATGATACTTTCACATCACATCAACCAACTAAAGAATGAAAAGCATGCAGAATAGTCTCAACACAAAGCCCAGATCTGCTTGTGATCACTACCCACTTGGAGAAATGATTACTTGATGTATACCATACTTTCCGTAGATACCCGGTCCTAAAAAGGTCGAGAACTCATGAATGAATGGCAGTCATGGGCTATGATTATTCAGTCTCCAGTTCAACAGCAGATAGTTCTTGATTCCGGGATCAATAACATACGTGGTTTGCAGTGCATACATCCCAGGTATAGACCAGGAGAGTACTTTTGATTGATCAGTAAATTTCAATATCCCCTGTACCATAATTCCAAAGGTTCAACGGCCAGCGAATAAAGGGAAGGTCTGAAATCAACACCTAAGACTTTGAGCATTGACTGCCTAGTGGTAATGCGGGGTAAGACATGGCATCTCAGGAATTTAGTTGAACATTAAGTTTGGGGAATTTTGTTTGGGATTTTGTTGTCAATGCAGCTTTGTAATTCACTCCCTCGAGCTTGCAAGACGTTGTTCATCGTGATCGTCAATTCTAACCGGGTAGGTTCGAGATTAGGAATAGTTTGCTTTTGAGAAGTTCGATTGTAAATTACGTGAATTTCACGTAGCTACCTTGAGAAATGATGAATTTTTTAGGGAACAGGAACTGGGTTGATATTTGTACTCCGAGGATACCGAAACGTGAAAGAAGAGAACCGATTTGTGTTGAAGAAGCTTTGTTATCAAAAGCTGAGTAGACAAACCCTTATCACTTGGGCCCCGGGAGTATATTCTCAAAGGCCATGTTGCCAAGTTGACATTGATGACTTTACACTAGAATCAAGTCATTAGATATTGAAGTAATTTGAAGGAATATTATATGAACAAAAGCATGACTCAAACTCTTTACGCATGAGATAGACCTAACTAAGAAGCCTCATGCTTCGAGAAGTAGTGCTCGATGGGACCCTTGAAACGTAAGGTTTAAGTTCTTTGTACAATAGGTCAAAGTCAATAAAACAAACGGTGCTCATATGATGATTCTAGTAGTCCTATGCTAGACTCTTTATAATGCACTCAACTCCATTTGCTTGGATTCGGAAACATGCCCACGTACCGATTGTCCTAAGGTTGATACCAGAAATACCTTTCCAGGTCCGCAAGAACTTTCTTTTACGTGGAATACTTGGCATGAAAGTATAACCGATTTCTTTAGGTTCAATCTCGGAAGCAAAAAGATGTGCAGATAAAGAACGTTGCAACTTGGTTGGTGTCAGATCATGCGATGCTTAATAGGCGTGTCACGTGATTGATTGAACAAGAACAACACACAAAGAAGCCTCCCTTTCATTTTATATCATATCAACTCGGACAGAAGAAACTGATCATGCCGTTGTACTTGAGACCCTTCAATTGAGACAATATTGATGACTTCATCTAAATTCTATTCCCTTTTTGAAAGGATTTGCTACCTTTTTGGGGGGGGGGGGGGGGCAAGCAACATACTTCAAAGCAATGATTGGATGGCTGTAAAGTGCCTTTGTTGAACCACGAGAAAACGAGGGATTGGGGAATCGAAGCTTGCATCCTAGAAATGGAAGCTTTTATTTATCGATGTGGATTCCTGCAATCAGAAGCCATAGCACCACTTTAGAGGGTTTCTAACCTCGCATTTCGAACTTCGGGTGGCTTCCAAGTGGACACAATTGATTCGTCACAACATTCAATTGTCGCTTCGCCTCCACTCACAGCTTGCGGTTGTCTCGGAAAATGGCAATCATTGACGAATCCAACATTGATCTTCTTGGGGTCCTTTGATGATCTTGAAGATCGAATGGGTTATATGGCTGACATATATGAATTAAGGAGTTGATTTCCCTTGTTGCTGTTTCAACAAATTGGATAAATGCGATGCCCATACAAATCTTTCCATTCCTTTCTTTCGGCCTTTGCTCTCTACATGAAAAATGACGATCATTCGTCATCATGAACAATGCTTTTGATAGCAACGACCCAGAAATTGACAAGAAAGCTTAACACATCATCCAAGGGAAAGTATATGAAGTACATGTGCATATCTAAGAGGAGCTTCATCGATTGGTGCTCCGTGGAGGAAATCCACCAAGTGTATGCAAGATTATCTTGTCCAGGAGTGCGAAAGATTCCCTGAACCACTTAAATCTGGGGAAAGGACCACTAAAGTATGTAGTGATTTTTTTAATAGATACCACACGGCAGATGTAGAAAAGTGGAAAGCTAAGAAAAGGAAGGGAGCGATTCCGGTGATGAGACGAATGAAAAGACGATATGTTGTGTAAAGCTTGACCTTATCCAACCTTATTGAAAGTTTTGATGGTTCTTTGAAGTAGTTGCTGATCTCCATAGGTAGTTTAGCAATAAGATACAACTCAAGATCAAGCACTGACTGGTGAGTGTATCGACCCCACGGAGGATGGGAAGATCAACGCTGTTAGGGATTATAAAGATGGGAATGAACGTGGATATGCATCAATAATCTATCGCAGTCGTACGTAGATGATCTGATGAAGAGTGGAAGTACGAGTACATAGAAGTCATGAGAATTATAAATCTGATGTTATGATTTTCGGATGATGCCGTCCGTTGTGATAATCATGCTTCGGTAACGATTCTTTGCTTTCTACGATAATGAAAAACATAAGAGACTCGCAGATGAGTTCATGTTCATGGGAAAGTTCGTACGATTAATCGTACTGTACTCTGTAGTGTATACGAGCAATCACGCAATGATACGCAATACGACCTAGATGATCCAGTAAATATGTCGGTAGTTAGATTGAACATATTAATAATCCTTATTTTCTTTTTGTTTCTTTCTATTTACTTAGATATCATTCGATCTAAGGATTCTTCTTTACTTTAAAGGATCGTCTATTCAATAAATAGATATATTAGTAGATAGATGAGTACTAGATAGATACTAGTAAATAAATATTAAATGAATTAATAACATAATAATAACAACAATAATAATAATAATTATAATTATAAAGATATAAAGTAAAGTATAACTAAGTTGAAATATAAAGAAACATGATTATATATTACAAGCGACTAATTGATGAGTTATTGCTCCAGCACCTGAGGACATCTACCTACTTATTACTACCTACTCATCCTCAGACATCGCACGGAGATGGCTTCCTTGAAGTTCCTTGTCAAAGAACGACGTCAGATCCAAATCGGGTTTAGCCTTCCAGATTTAGCATCCTTTAGTATGATTTTCTTTGCGGGGAAAGCCTTAGCGGATGTGAGCTAGACAGGGATTATGAATGTTAGCTATTGTTGCTGTGAGTGTGAGTGAATCACCTTCACCCCTTCCTCTTCCCTTTCCTTCCCTTCCACTCCCAGATTCATAAAGTCGATCGGATCCTTCTCTCTTACCAATATCTTATATATCATGAACGAATCTTCTTATCTTTTCCCTCCTTCCTATCAATTCAAACTAAATCACAACACTTTCTTCATTCCTCAATAAACAATTTCTACTTCATACCTTCCTTCTTTCTACCTTGCCCCTCTAGAATTATCTCTCTTTTTCATACCATCAATTCTACTTCATATTGTAGAACCTCAAATAAAACTATACGCTTTCCCAAAATTCCATACGAAAGTTCAAGTTCGTACCCCACACACATACACACACACAAACACACACCACACACACCACACACACATACACTATAAAGCCACCAACCATTGGGTAGTAGGTGACTTCAACGAAGAAACGAAAAGAAAGAGAACAAAGAAACTCGTGGGAATAGCTCCGTTGATATCAATTCTAAGTAAACCGAACTTCATTTTATCAACGACAAAGAAATCCTTATCATACACGATCACAGATCGAATATATCAGCATCCCACCCATTACTCCGAAGCTGAGAGAGCAGCTTACGGCTATCTGAAGAATCTCTCATTCGATTCTATACTCGCCTAGATCCAACAATCAAACCATCAACATCACCGACGTGATATTCGACCAAATAAGTTTCCTGCCTCTAAAGTTTCGATCCAAACGCAGATATGTCTTCAAACGGCAATAGCAATAACGGTGGCACTACACCTCCAAACGAATCCTCTCGACCTCGTCGTGGTTCCATCACTGCACAAACATTCACCAATATCTTTCGTTCAAACAGTACATCTGCCGGAGGTCCGGTCGGTCCTATTAGCACAGGCGCATCTCAAGATCATAAACGAAGAATGTCAATTTCTACACTTGGTTTATCTGGTGCGGGTGCATCTCCAACACAATCCTCGGCGTTTCCTTTTGGTTGTCGACGTGGTAGTGTATCAACTACAGCTTCTGAATCAATTGACGAAAGTGCCATTGATGATGAAGATGGACCTTCTAGAGGTACACCAACTACACCTTTTGCACGTCGTATGTCATTTGGTGCTCAAGCACTTCGAACAGTTCGTACGGGTAATGGTAGCCCAGGCACAAATGGTAGAACTCCTTCTTATACTACTTCTACATTATCCCCAATTCCAGCAGGTTCACAAGGTGGTGGTAGAGTAACCCCACCAGGAACTCAGTCTCTACAGGCAAGCACGCAATCAAAACCCAGAACTCCCTCTGACTTTGCTTCTTCTGCTCGTCCAGGTGAAGGCGGTTTCAACTGGTCTGAGCAGCTTAGATCTCGTGCCGAGAGCCAAGTCTCTCAATCCCAACGTCCGATCATGTCAACCTCTCCCCCAAATAGTCAAAGATTCAATGTTCCAATGCATGAGCGAGCCAAGAGTATTGGTGACGCCCCAGCTCCACCCACTTCCGTCATTCCTCCTGTCGCGGCACCAAAGCCAGCTCGAAAGCAACCAGATGCCTTCCAAGAACGTATTTTGAAGGGTGATTTCTACATGGATTGATTACTATGAACACGCACACAAATTTCCTTTTGTCTTTTTCGAGCAAGAGCTTGAAAATGACCAGGAGTGGATCTTTCAAAGTTATGGCGTTTATTGATCAAATCATTAAAGGAACAAAGGGATTTCTTTACAACTATGGGTTACAACTATGGGTTACAACTATCTGCAATTGCTTTCGCTACAATATAACATGGATACGGAATGTCGGATCTGCAGAATTGGGATTGAACAGACATAATGAACGATGGAAACAGAAACAATGAAAATATCCACAGCTCTAGAAAGAGCAAGAAATGGAAAGATTATAGGATTGGGTGACCGGATATCGGAGTGTACGCTGGACGTTTCATTTTCGAAATTTATTTTACTTCTTGGTTGAGGTTCAAGATGCTAGCCATAAGGCTTACTCGGCTCAGAATATGCTCAACGGAGCAAACGATACAAGCAAAGAAAGAAATACTGAGCAGACTGGCGCTCTCGGACAGATGTGTGAGATGGAATACATGGATGCCTTAAAAAGATCCAGATTGATGATTGATGAAACTCTTTGTATTGCTGGCGCTTGTACTTCGCTGGGACTGTAGGCGGATGATTCGACATGGCTTACTTGCTTGCTTACATGAATGAACTGAAACGAAATGTTGTTGGGATTGGGAATGGGATGGAATGTTTAGTATATGCGTCTGAGCCTTTTACGCAGCTGGCCTTCTCCTTTTCCAAATTGTACTTTACATGAACAAATTAGCTAGCTGTTCTCGGTTGACTTTCACAATGTCGGCGAGCGGATGGAATTCAAAAAACATGTTAAAATCAAACTCAATCTTGATTTTAATTTCCAATTGTGACTTTTATCCCGACGTATTGATTAATTGTCCTGGCACATTCGACAATGTACTTGGTGTGTGTGTCCTCATCTTCGCAAGCTTTAAACTGTTTAACTATTACAAGTCTGCCTACCTCCAGAATTCAAATAGCCGAACATATATCGTACTACTATGTACTAACCCATTATAATAACAATGGATGGAGGCAAGCCCCCAAACCCTCATTGCTCGCTGCGCTCGAGAGATTTGGTAGATGATTGGATGGGTGATGAGCGGATAGGTATTGAGTTATGGGTATCTATAGATGTATATGTATGTACCTATGTATGTATATATTTCCATCTTCCTAGAGAATATGCCGAAAAGTTTGGAATATGAATGAGATTTATTTTGCTGGTCTTGTGGGAGGGAGCAAGGGGGTGCTTTTTTTATTGAATTGGATTGGGCTGGGGAGGGAGAGGGTAGAGGAGAGGATAGGGGGGCGACATAGGTATCGAATGGATGAAGAATGATACGAGTGTGCTAGGAAAAGCCATAGGGAATCAAGGACTAGCGTCACGGTCTGTGAGAAAATTCTGGGGTTGTATTAATTTTGGTTATTCTGCCGTGACTCTGACTCTAACGCCCCACATAAATATGAAGGGTTATTGAATGGAGGTAGGGTGTTTACTCCTCAGTATTGTACGGCGTATCTTTACCTGTACCTATATCTTTCGTCTTTCTTACCATAGGAAAATATCGCTCCAATGAATTGGTATAGTTATAATATTGTCTTCGCTTCCTTTTCTCTACCCCTTTCTATCTCAAATCTGCTCTATTTTCAAAAAACCATGAACGTGATGTCTACGATTTAATCATGAAAATCTATTGAAAAATTAGCACTCATACCTAAGAGAGTAGAATATCCTCTGGGTGCAATAAGAAGACGAACCTGGTTCAAACTTGCAACATCCATACTAGCCATCCTCTTCTGCGCGATATGTCGAGCTCGTATAGAGCGTATACCCATCGGCGTTGATCTTCCACTACTTTCTGAGACTATTGGTGTGCTCTCCTTGGTGGAGGTTTCTGATGTGGAGGATGATTTATGTTTATCTTTCTTGGATTTCTTGGAGGATTTGGAGGTAGAGGTTGTTTCTTCGGTGTCCACGCCTGCTGCTTCTTTCTCTTTTCGCTTCTTCTCTTTCTTTTCCTTTTTGCGTGCCTTCAATGCGGATTCGTCTAAGGTTTCATTTTCTGATTCGGAGGTAGATTTCGATTTCGACTTGCGATCTTTCTTGGATTTTTTCGATTTCTTGGATTCGGACTTGTCTTTATCATCCTCATCTTCACTCTTCCTCTTCTTGCTCTTCTTTTCCTTTTTCTCCTTCTTGCTCTTCTTGCTAGATGTCTTTTCTTCGTCTTCCTGTTCCTCTCTCTTTCGTTTCGACGACTTCTTCTTCTCGGTCACAGGCTCTGGTGATTTCTCTTCCTCCTCCTCATCTGAGCTAGAATCGCTTTCCTCACTACTACTCTCTGCTGCCTTCTCTTTGATCTCCAAAGCTTTAAGTCTCTCCTTCTCTCCATCAATCAAGTCCTGAATTTTATCACCAATCAAAACCCCTCCCTTGACAAATCTAATGCTCCCCCATTTCCTCTCCGCGTAAATCGCTCTCTTCAAGTCATCCCTCCCTTTCTGTTCTTTTTCGATTTCCGCTTCTTCCTTTCCATTCAACCTCCCTAACAAGTTCTGGAAAACGTCTAAACCAGTGCACTCCCCATGTCCTACTCCACTCCCTATTTTCGCACCCAATCCTAATGTATTATCTTTAATCACCACACGAATGTGCGACGCATTAGCTTCGGTATGGAATTCTGCATGCGCGGCGTCTTTTGCTCCAAGATATTCACCAGGTGTCCAGCCCTGTGATTTCATCATGCGATGACCGAAACTGTCGGTATTTCCAGACCATCTTGTATTATTTGGATCGTGGGAGAGTTTTATTTTGCTGGAGAGATGTTTGTTAGTTTGTGATTTATGATGAACAATTCCTTGAGAGGAAGCGATGAAGGGGGAACACACTTCTTGGGAGCAGCGAGGCCCATCTTTGTGGTTAAATTGAGTGTGGTGGTAAAGAATTGAAAATAAAAGAACGTTTAATGTTTTGGTGTTTGATGGATATCGAGAAATCGGAGAAAAAAGTGGTCGGGAACTTTTTGTAAATTTTAGTGGGGTAGGGATATCAAGATAGTAAGCTAGTGTCTGATTGGCTGTGTTGGGGAGCTTGAATTTCACATGCATCTCATCTCATTATCGACTTTCACTTTTCACTCAAACATTTATTCGTTCAATCATCCTCAAGAACTCTTCTCATCTGATACCGTGATTCTCCAATTTCATCTAGAATTCCTCACCTCATTTTGATACACACAGAATCAACTTCTTCACGATACGATCCTCACGTTCCCCATACTCTCATTCGCAATGCCAGGTCAATTTATCATGGATGACGATGCAGAATCCCGCATTTCCTCCCAAGATTCTGTTCCAGATATGGATTTTGTCGAAAGAGCCAACCAAATGATGGCCGGTGTATTGACACCTTTTATATCTTCCTTATACTTACGATAACTAACAAGATATCTTCCAGACGAAAAAGCGCCGTGATGCAAAGCGTAACAAGATTGAAAATGAACGTGCTCAGCGCATCAAGGAAGTCAAGAAGAAGCTTGGTGTTTTGTATGAGAATAAGAAAACCCAAAGGTGTGTCTTGTTCTCTTGCAATTCATCATTCATTTTCATCCGGTGTCCATGTTTTGCACGGGATATGATCCCCGAATTACAGCTGTCTAACTCGAGCTTGGGCTTACACAAAAACTCATATGGTCTATTACTAACGACCAGATAGAGGCAAGCTTCAAAAGGCCCAGTGGAAACAACTTCATTCCCTGAACAAGAAACGCCAAGAGCTTGAACGTCGTATATTGGACAGCATGAAAATCATCGAGAGTAATACTTTGAGCATAGCTCGAGAATTCAACGCTGTTGTTATTGCTCGTTTGAGTGCCATGGAGAAACTGGCCGATATTCAAGACGCTGCTTGAAGATATGTTCGTGGTGTGTACTACGTTTCTGTGTCAGCTATTGATATTGTCATGGGAGAAGGATGACATCTAAGATTCAAACATTGCTATTCATTATCGCTATACACATACTCACTCATAGAACACATACTTATTTTAGGGCGTTGAACACACGGAAAGGGTAATCTGGGTTGGGAGTATGGTCGGAAGATACCCCTGAGAGCTTGCTTATTTATATTGCACATTATTAGCACAATATCAAACACTCATCTTTTCACTGACATGCAGAGTCCAAACACTTCCATAGTCCCATTTAACTTTTCTTCCATGAAGCTTACAATTCCTCATGCCGCTACCTTGGTATCCGTAAAACGCTATGTTACAATCAAAAGCCCTCTCCCCGGTCATCAAAACCCCGTATCATCCTTCCAAAACCCAACAATCCTCCCAAATTCCGCAATCCCATTCCTAACCGAATCAATAATAACCTTAGCAATTCCCTCTCTCTTGCCCTTTCCTTTTCCAGCTCCTCCTGGCATATTCGGTTCCTCGCTCCCCATAGTGGGTAACACATTATCGCTCGCAGACAAAGACACAAAGAGTGCGAATGGTGTCAACCATACACACAATCCGAAATACGAAGCGATCTGCGTGAAATCCGGATATCCAGACGTATCATATATGGAACTTGGGGTTTGAATAGGACCTGCTGCGAAATGACGGAACCAAAGATAGTGGTTTACTATTACTAGAGCTAATGCCTGTTATTAGTTTCCTGTCTGAATTCGAGATTGGGGAAAGGGCGGAGGAAGGAGGACATACCGCATGAAATGAGGAATAGCGGATTGCTCAAGTGGACTACTGGGAATCGCCTCATGTTCCCCAAATAGACCAGATGAGAGAGGATACTCATGATGCTGAGTTTGAAACTAAATCCATCGACCAAACATAAAAGGGCTTGGATCCCAATAATCGCATATATCATTCGAGTCAAGAAGCGCTTTGCCATCACCGTGTGTTCCTCGACGAGCTCGGAAAGATAGTATAATCCAGAGGCTATATCATATACAAAGTCAGTATTCGCACATACATATACAGAAGAAAATAGCATCGCCAATGGATTCAGGAGACGCGACCAAGAAACTCAAGCTCAAGAGGATAGGATAAACTTACCAATGGCAGTAGTCAGGAAACCAAACCCAACCGCCACGCCCAGATATCCGACAATGGGTAAGATCCACATGATGTTTGAAGATTGACAGTGAGATGTTATGAGTGCTGCATAATGTTTGCAGAGGTAAAAAGTGTAAATAGGAGGGGTTCTACGATAGTTAGCTGTTCTTTACCTACCCCAGATATTCGGTTCGGTTGATATTCGGCATACTTTTTCTGGTACTAGAATTTTTATCTTCTTATCGCATTTAATTCGCATCGAGAATTGATAAATTTGTGTGCGACAATTCCATTCATATTATTTCTTAGAAAGTCCAGCGTAAACTTTTGGCATTCACTCTTCCTCGTCTATATTTCCATAAACAATTAAAACCGATACCAATTCTCCAACACTAAAATGTCTCGCCCAGAAGATACACTGTAAGGTTTCCCCTCCTCCCCTCCCCTCCCCTCCATGCGACAATTCCCCATTCCCATCTCTCTAACACACCTCTAGCCCCCCCGACCTCCACTACAATGACACCGAAGCGCGCAAATACACCACCTCCTCCCGAATCCAAAATATCCAAGCGAGCATGACCAACCGGGCCCTCGAGCTCCTCGACCTCACCACTCCCTCCCTCCTCCTCGACATTGGCTGCGGCTCCGGCCTCTCAGGCGAAATCCTCTCCGCCGTGCCCGAAGAAGAAGGCGGACCGCATATTTGGGTTGGAATGGATATTAGTGCTTCTATGCTCGACATCGCATTACAGCGAGATGTAGAGGGTGATTTGATGTTAAGTGATATTGGCCAGGGCGTTCCATTTCGAGCCGGAAGTTTCGATGCTGCGATTAGTATTAGTGCGATTCAATGGCTGTGCAATGCGGAAAGTAGCGAGGTCTCGAGTGCAGGACGACTTTCGAGGTTTTTTGGAGGATTGTATGCTTCGTTGAAGAGAGGAGGGAGAGCTGTGTGTCAATTTTACCCGAAGAATGACCAGCAAAGAACGATGATTACTGGTGCTGCTATCAAGGCTGGTTTCGGAGCGGGTATTTTGGAGGATGATCCGGGAACGAAAAATGCGAAGTTGTACTTGGTTTTGACAGTTGGTGGAGGAGATGTGGAAACTAGTAATGGAGATATTACGGGAATAGTGAAGGGAATGGATGGAGTTGATGTGTTGGATGCTAGGAAGAAGCATAGAGAGAAGGGTAGAAAGGATGTTAAGAAAGGTAGCAAGGCATGGATCTTGGGAAAGAAGGAACAAATGGAAAGAAAAGGAAAGGTGGTTAAGAATTCGAGTAAATATACAGGACGGAAGAGAAACATTGCTTTTTAAAAGGCTTGGTTGGAAAAGTTCACGTATGTATTTGCATGCAATGGCGTTGGGGTGACTGGGGTACGGAGTGTCTATGATATCAGTTATTTTAACAACAATGAAAGACATATTTTGTGGAACAGGGCCTGAATGATGATGATGCTGTGCTCATATTTCTAACAATTGAACCCCGTAAGAATCTTGCTATCTATAAGTCTTCCTACCTGGCCTAGTGTACCACTGTCGAGATAGCAAGATAGTCCAAGAGGGATGTACAGGTAGATGAGATCTTCTCTGTACGTACTCTAGTCTACCTTCACGGCAGTGGTCACCGAAGGGCCAACGGAGCGTCATATACCATTGATGGGAGCAAGCCCCCAAACCCCCATTGCTCGCTACGCTCGAAAGCCTTTTATCGTTGGCCCATCCTCCATGACGTTGAAACTGGAGACAGAAGCGATTGGGCTCCCAATGAAATGATGGGGAGAGATGCGGTAGGAATGGGAGAAGGTTCGAGTTGAAGAACTAAATCTTTGAACCTACATGCCAGTCTTTCTGACTCTTTTCATAATAACAAACGTAGACAACTCTGTTCTCTGTAATCGAAATCATCCCGAACACCTTGATAGCCATGTTGCTAAAATTAGAAACGACAAATATCACTTCAAAGTCAACAAAATATGCGGATATAATGATTTTTTTATGCACTTCAACCCCTTAATGTACACTCCGATCCATATCTAGGGTATTCTTTATACAGTCTATCCACCAATCTATGCAGCCAACTCCATCTTATCCAAAATAGCACGAGTGAATTGGTTAGTTGAGTTGTTTCCTCCCATATCACGAGTTCTAACGGCTCTGTAGTAATATTAGTAATTTGTAAACATATAACTCCTGTTCGGGATCACTTACCCTTCAGCAATAACATCATAAACAGCCTTGGAGATTCTGTTGGCGTGGTCATCAAGACCAAGATGTCTCAAAAGCATAGAACCAGAAAGAATCATAGCAGTTGGGTTGGCTTGATCCTTGCCCTTGATATCTAAACCAACATGACGGCACCCAGGTTCGAAAACAGCAACTTCACGTCCCATGTTGCATCCAGGAACAAGACCTGGACCACCAACCAAAGCAGCACCAACGTTGGACAAAATTCCTCCGTACAAGTTAGGCATGACCATAACATCGAATTGTTGTGGTCTGGATACACATTGCATAGATGCATTGTCGACAATCATATCGTTGGTCTCCAAAGTGGGGTAGTCCTTAGCAACATCGTTGAAGGTTTTGCGGAAAAGACCATCTGCAAGCTTCATGATGTTGGCCTTGTGAATACAGGTAACCTTCTTACGGTTGTTGGCAAGAGCAAAACTGAATGCAAATTTGGCAATTCTCTCAGACTTAGCGCGGGTAATGATCTTGAGAGATTCAACAACACCTGGAACAGATTGATGTTCCAATCCAGAGTATTCTCCCTCAGTGTTCTCACGAATAATGCAAAGATCGACATCCTTGTGGCGAGTGTTGTAACCTGGGATGTTCTTGATGAGAACAATGGATGCGTAGATATCGAGTTCTTGTCTGAGTGCGACGTTGAAAGATTGGTGACCAGATCTCTCGACAGGTGTGTGCAAGATACCCTTAAGACCAAGCTTATTTCTCTTCAAGGATGCTATTGACTCCCGGAACAAGTCCTCGGAGTGTTTGTCTCCAGTTTCAACACCAGATACATCAACTTGTTCCCACTCGACCGGCACATTGTCTGCTTTGAAAATTGTCTTTACAGACTCAGCAACCTCGGCTCCGATACCGTCACCAGGAATTAAAGTAACGGTATATTTTCCACCATACTTTGTAGGCTTGAAGATATCGGATTGAACAGTTGCGAAAGTTCTAGTGGGAGCGACGTGGGCGGTTCGCAAAAGGCTCTGATAAGAAGTTGGTATTAGCTTGTGACAAACTAAGAGAGAGACATAGACATGATCTGCAAATTAAGAATATGCAATTGAGAATTCCTGATTAATTTACATACTTGCGCCGACCTGACAGAGTTTCTTGCCAGCATCTTGAAAATGAGAGAATATTAAGGATTTTTGGTAGGTTGATTGTGTTAAAGAAAGCCGTAAATATTCAGTTGGTCGGAATACCCGTGAAAAGGTAGAGTTTAACCCGGCTGGAGATAATCAGCCTTTACCTAATTGGGAAACGGCATGTGGAATCGGTTTTGTCACGGAGCGGAATTTCACGCTTCACTTGATTTTTTCACATTAATTAATCTTCGGAAATTCTAACCAAGTATCAACATACGCACATCTACGAAGTACAAAGTAGACTGATATGATCCGTATATATTGTTTCTTGAATGTCTGTTTTGGTATTATCATGAAATAGTAGAGAAGATATTAGAACTTTTTTTCTAATTCCTTATATAAATCGACATAGGTACCGTCGTTTCAATATTTGATGGGAAATTATAAATGCCATTACGTTTACTACCTATCTAGGTATCTAGCACGTGTCTATGGAGAGTGGGTGCTTCATCGATATTCAATATGACGCTCCTCTGGGTCACTGCCGTGGAGGCGAGGGTTGTTTTGCTTTGCTCTAGTTCTAGAAGAGTATATGTATACACGTTAGAACTTCAATTAATCATACTCTTATTCTTGTTATACGCTACTGTCTGTATCATCGAGGGGTAGTCTCGCCTTGCGGGGAAAGCTCGGGCTCTATTCTCATGAACGCTCATTATTTCTATGCATGACAAAATTGAAAGGAGACGAAGTAGTCTCTCTCTCATTCAACTTCAGTGAAATGTTCGATATTCTCAAGTATTAGTTGATGTATTAGAATACTTGGGTACCAGGTGACGGGCATTCGGGTGAGGTAACAATACAGGCTTGCAATGACTTGCCCTTGTCTCTGCACAAAGCCTAAAAATACTCGTATAGACAGACGTATTAAGTTTCAGGTCTCGAAAAATTTAGAGAATATTGGGTCTATAAGGAAGTTAGGAGGTTAGTCCTCTGGGCAATTCAATCCCGGCTTCTAGAATGTTGTGGGAAAAAGTAGTAGAGTCAAGTTCACAAAGCCATTGTTCTCATGATTCATGGAGCCGTTCCCAGCATATCCCGAAACGGGGCATAATCAATTCTTTGACAACCTAGATATCTTTTCGATTGTTAACGACATAACTTACTCCCTGAAAATCTATGACAGAGCCCAAGATGCCAATCACTCAAACATGACAGCTGAACGCAAGTCAATACCCTGCGAGTTAATCAACACCTACTATCAAATATGTAACCATGTTACGACATCTCTTCATCACTCTACTCGCACCATACTATCCAAATCCTCCGATCCTAAGTCTTCCACTTCCTCTGAAAAAACCATAACCTGTCCACAAGCGATCCATAACCTATCACTCCCTCCTCCACTGGATCAACGGCAAAAATCTGAAAGAACACTTTGTCCCTCGATCCTGAAACGTACACTCATAAATTCAGGATATGGATGTCCAGATTGCGAGCCAAAGTATCATCAATCAACCGATTATGTTACGACGGGACAAGGTCGCCGGGATGAGAAAATAGTGGACGAAGAGAAAATAAAAAAGAAGAGGCTCGAGTGGTGTATGCTTGCTATTACGGAATGGGAGGCTAGGAAAAAGAAAAGGCAGCATGCGGCGGGCTCATCGGGAAGGGATGATTGATCAATTCAGAAAGAATAGAAGATGATGGACTGAAATTAGTACTTTACAATATAACCAAATTTCATCTGCTAAGATCGCAGATTTGAGAAGTTACAAGACTCTTGGGTAGTGCTGTCTCTTTATACGTAGATATTGCTATTTCTAACAATAGAGTGTGCTAGCCCTTCAAATACTTAAAATGTTGTGTTTCTGAGTTGGCGTAATTGTGATAACTTCCAAGCAATCTTGACCTTCTATCCGCATGAACCTTAAGCTCTTTCTCTTGCCTTTCAATATTGTAGTGTTTAGACAACGATTTATTATAAGCCTTTGATCGCCCTTTCCATAGCTTTACATGATTGGTAGGATCGTAGTGGGAAAATTGAAGGGTATGGTAGGCTTGATGACCGGGAAAGGCGGCTGACATTGACAATAGAGTTGTAGGATGAGGTCGATAATCGAAAAAATTAGTGGGTATTACCATTTGCGGTGCTGTGCTTAGGTTTGGATCGATGGAGAGATTATTCGGAGGAGGAATAGTATCAAGATATGTGACATTCTCATCCACTGTCCCCACTCAGATCCAACTACAGCAACAATCAGACTATTTATATCACCTCAACTCGAACATTTGATGCTATCTTACGCTCAGCGGGAGAACGCGAGGCAAAGACAATCGGGATCCTCTGTAGATATAATTCCACAAACCAATGACAGCTATCTCAAAATCGGAGGGATTCCGAAGCAAATATACGGCTTAGCCACACCACAAGTTGTGGAGATGGAATTCTGCACGAGCCCGTTATCAAATTACAGCGATCTAGAAATTGAGGAGAGCCTTGAGCAAACATATGGCTCAACCTTGGCACCGGTTGGAGTCAACTCTTTGCGAGCCTATCGTCAAATGACAGCAATCTGGAAAGCGAGGAAGCCGGAAGCAGATAGACAGTTCAACTTAGCCATGGGTTGAAGCAGGGTTTTCTGGCGGGCCCATCATCAAACCCACTAGTCCCCCTGTCCAATACGATGGACTTGGGCCTTCCGATGGATATAGGCAAGGGGGAAGGCTTGAGGCGGACAAATGAGTTCCAGCAACCACGTAAAGTGCCTACAGCCTCTCCCAACCATTCTGGAAACCTGCAATTAATATTATAAAGGTTCCACATGTGATTCGCCCATCTTAAATGATGAACAAATTTATCTCTCTGATCATGAAATAAACCCAGGGCTTGGAATGCTGTCGGCAAAACAATGCAAGTATATTCCTCATTGTTTTCTGAAAGTGCGTGCCACATAGTTTCATCTACAGACTCCAGAGATGATTCCGGAGAAAGGGTTCCTTGCAGCTGACCCATCATCTCAACACGAACTTTCTCGATTAAACCCTGGAACTCAACAGTGGGAACTTGCTTCGACCTTTTTTTTTTTAACTTCATGAAGATTGAGGATGTAGCGAAGTACAAAATTGCTGAAGCTTTGGCTTAGAAGCAAAAAATGAGAGGCTAACATGTAGCATCCTTGAAGAGAATGGTGGTTTGACGGTGTTCGTATGTAAAGTGTAGTATTCGTAAGCCAGGAGGAAACGGTGCCAATCACTGAATATCTCCCACTCTGCCTTCTCATCCTCAAATAAACGGCAGGTTAACGAAATCTTGGATGTCGTTCTTTCCATGCCCAACGGCTGGAAACACTGCCGTGAAATTTCGAAAAATATGTTCGAATTCAGAGGAAATCAATTGAGATCGTTTTCGCGCGAATGAGAACGACATTAGGATCCCCATCACTGATTCATATGATGGTCTTTCAGTCATTTACTAGGATACCTCAAAAATATAGCAAACATTTGAAAAGAATGACTTGTTCCCTCAAACTAATTGTGATATAGGAAATCCTCCTCGGTTTGCATCTATAGAGTTGGTAGTTATCTGGCTCCAACCGGAGCATACCCTTGCTGCGTATCCCCAAGTCCAACGTTTAAGCCCTTCCTCTTGTCAACAACTTTTCTCACCGCTGCCCAACCAAGCAAGCCTACAGTACCAGCAATGAAAGTCAGTACCACAATCTGATCCTTTCTGCTATCTCGTTGAAAGCACGTTGTGAAAACATCTTTCTCCTCGGCCTCTTTGCATATTGGTAGTCGCTGAGCGAGACAGAATGCTCGATTACACATAGTACATGTTGCAGCTGGGGCACGAGAGTCGTGCTTCGAGTCTGATTTATCGGATGAAGAGCTCGAATGTGAAGACAAGGGAATGATGGTGCTATTCGTAAAGCAAGTACATTTGCAAAAAGACGGCGGTGCTTTTATAAGAATTAGCAAATAGGGATCGACAATCTTGAACAGGTACCTACAGTCCGCTATTGTTGCAACAATCAATGTACACAATAAAAGCAAGAAGTATATGCCCCTCATCTTTGTCATTTAGGGATATGTCAAGCACTTTGAATTCTGGGTATCTTAGATTACTCAAATATTGGTGAGATTCCTGTTGATGGATGAGAGAGCTTCCAATTAATTTGCTCCAACAAAAAGACCTCTCGATGTCACAATTGATTATCTGGTGAAGTTGTTACTGTCATTTTATTGCGATGCGATGATGCGCTTCCCCGGTTGTAAGTCCAAGGGTCTGCACATAATAATTCATTTGGGCTAGTACTTTTAAGGACTAGCTCGTTTGATCCAAAAAGTTCAAGCTCAAAGAGATATCCAAATAACATCATTGCACTTCAAACTACCAATTCACACACAATGCGTCGAATAACGAGAATAGATAGGTCTGTTGACCTCTTACGTACCAGGTCTATATCACAAAATCCGTTCGCATATCGTTGCTCAGCATGCAGAAACCAGACTTCTTCATTCTCAACTTCTTTAAGAGGGGCAGACAAAGAATCACTTGGCCAGCGAGTGCGACGAAGTTTATTCAAACAATCCACCGCCACATCTTCAGATCCTTACACCGGGCCTAGTCAACTGTTGGCGAAAGAAGCGGAACCAAAATTTGAACGGAAAGAGATAAGAGCACCTGAGGACGCTGAAGATTATCAGCCGGCAGACAATGGAAAGGAATTGGAAGTTATTGGTGGCTACGAGGCTTCCTGGGGCGAGGAGTTGGATGCCCAGTATCCATACAAACTGTTCTTTCCAGAAGAAAAGATCAAAAGTCCTGCAAAAGCGACCGCGGCATTACATCGTGCTTTAGTCGAAGTTTTCGCCTTGAGACAAGCTGGAAGGCCACTGTCGGAAATTTCTCAGACTCAGCCCGGTACTGATTTTACTGAGAATGTACAGATCAATCCTTCGGACTCGGGTGCTATTTTACAGTTTTTAGAAAATGGTTCTCTAGAACAGATAATCCAACCATTGGCACCCCCCATGAAGCCTTCCAAAAAAAGCAAGCAAAAACGTAAAGCTCGTCTCGCTGCAACCTCCTCCATCGATGAGACCTCAGAGAAGACTGCGCCTACGGAGTCTGAAGAAGATGTAGCTGCCGATAGGTCGCCCGTAGATCCTTTACACCCAGAACCTACACCCAAGATTGACGAGACTGTGAAGAGAGAAAACCCCACAGAATCGGAAGAAGATGTCGCTGCGGATCGTTCAACTGTGGACCCATTGAAGGATAGCGCTGAAGCGCTGGTCGCATCTTGGGGAAATTCGTGGCTCAAGATTTCTCTCGCTGACCCAGCCATCAAATTTGCTGTAGGTTACATCACAAAAACATTTGATGAAGCATTTTACTGATAATTTACAGGTTGTTAAACGCACAATGCAATTAACAGGTCAAAGAATACCCGATCATGCCATCAATCATTCAAATACGGCAGAAAAGCTCTTACAACATCTCATCGCTCCACCCAAACCTCCAACCCTTAATAAAGCCTTGGAAGAGGAACAGATACTGTCATTGCCAAATGTCAGTGTTATTGGAAAACGTGTTACACCAATTGACAAGGAACGAAACATTGGCAGGTTGAAGGTCATCAGGCAAGAGTTCAAATCTCGAGGATTATCACAATCCCAAGATAGTGGATGGACTGGTCGCCAGCGTAATAAGGAAATATGATCTGTTTAATTTGTACAGTACTCTATCATGACAAAATGTATTCTGCCACAAGATTATTAAAGACAATCAGGCACATGCACTATTCCTTGACTTTGCACTGATTATTCTATTCAGACTTTTGCTTCAGGCTCCCTTCAAGACATTTGTGGTCTCCTTCAGTCAAGTTTGTAACTTTATGATCTTCCAACCTCGTCATTAGTTGCAGATGTGAATTGAATTAATGAGATGTAATGTATAAACAGTAAAAAACAGTGGGGGACGGCAAGTGCTCCTACTGCCACCTTCATGTACATTACATGCTCTAAGCTTCAATAAGTGTTGTTATTTATACTTGGCCGGTCATGATCACATCCTCACACGTTTTTTACTTCACTCTGCACCCCCCACAAAGTCGTTCTGCAGTCGTCATATCCTTCTCATTGTTTCATGCAGTGTCATTCTAAACTTCTTAATTTGCAGCGGAAGTTCCATTCAGTTCAATTCCCCTTTGCAGGTTCAATTCTCAATGACTCTGCTTGCGCCATTCATTGAGACTCACAAGCTGACTCCGTCAAGAGCACAACTTTGATCCAGTGACATGATAGAGAAACGGTTCTTCTTTTTAGGTCGTTGAACTATATTTCTACAAAACCCTTCTCTGTTTGTTTCCGTCGCTTACATCTATCTTTCGAATTCCCCTCACAAGCTAGCTACCATTCTACTATCAAAATAGAAACGTACATAAAATATCCTAAAATATCCATTCGTCGAGACTACTCTGAAATCTAGATGTACTGAATGCTGAACCGTGTCTCTCCAAGAAATGTCTATATCATTCCCTGCCCCTTTATACTTATCCGACTTCCCCTACACAACAGTCTCATATTCTTGTTCGATATTCGTCAGCAGCAGCCGAGCTTTAGATTTCCAGCTCTTCGAAATGCTTTTGATTATTCAATTTTTATAATACTCTTCAAGAGCCTGAAAAAATTCGTTGTATACTGTAATATATGAGCCTCTGGTGAGTACAACCGCCTCTATGAAGAGGCAATTGTAAACCAATATCTTAACACAATTCATCTGAACAGACAATGGAAATTTAATCATTTCCAAGATTTTAGAACGAGTACCTACCAAATCCAGTTCGAAGACTCTCATCCCATCCCAGAAGAAAATCCTGTGCTAATCTCTTGAGAAAGAAGACCAATGAGTATGCTAGCCTGTCAAACAAGATAGGAGGCGTGTAATATTTGCGAGTTAATTTTTAGAAGATGAATTGGATACCTAGGAATGCAAAAGTTCGAATGAAAGTGAACATGCATGCAAGCTGTCGTATAGGTAATATGTATACAAGAATTGCCAACACATGAAGTGAATGTGTCATGACAAAAGGATCTAGTTAGCTATTGGCTTGTTGGGAATCCAGGTATCGAAGATGTCAGTAGGGAATAATTCAAGTCACATCACATCGCATCACACACGACATCACACACACACATCACATATCTCACAAAAATCCTCATCCCCCCAAAAACGGAACCCAGTTCGGGGAAAATAATAAAATGACATTTTCGAAGCCCCAGCAGAAATCTCCCACCTTCAAAAAAAGACAGAGACTCCCACCTAAACCTTATCTAAACCATGCCATCCCCCTAAAAAAATCGAACCATTATTGTCCCCCGTCCTAGCCACCAAAATCTCCCCGAGGAGAAAATCCCAGCAAACTATTCCCAAGCTCCAATAATGTTCGACATCTGTGGTGAAAATAAGTTGAGGAAAATCTCGGCATAGCCGAGAGTCCAAAATCTTATATTTTGTGTTCGGTATCCCAAAATGTGTCTGCCGATCAGATATCGATATCTATGATATGATATGATATGACGACGACGTAGAAGTGAAAAATATATGGTTTTTTATGTATACTTATTGAAAAATAAGAATGAATCGAAGTTTCCAACGGCGCAAAAGTCTAGCGCAATCTGTGTACTGCAAAAAGTCTAGTCTAAGAGACGAGTATAAATGCAACAAGAAGAGTCTAAGAAATATAGAGAGGTATCGCTACAATCAGTCAAACAGAATGTTACGAGACGAAATTCTTCGTAAGCAGCGTGTCATCCTGTTCTCGGCGCGATATCGTAGGCAGTGGTATGGAGCCACTTACAATTGCGCAAGCGCAATATCGGCAGCATAAGCCAAAGCGAACGCATCTCTCTTAGCCTTGCGGCAAGGTTGTCCTGGGCGTCCGCACCATGCCTCAGCATTGGCCTCAGCCTCCGCAAGAGCTTCGCGCTTGCATGGTTGACCGGGGCGTCCGCACCAGGCCTCAGCAGTGGGCTCAGCAAGCGCCTCAGCAATAGCTTCGGCAGCACGCTTGACGGCACGGCAAGGTTGTCCAGGACGTCCGCACCAGGCCTCGGCTTCGGGATCGGCCTCACGCTTCTCCTTGCATGGTTGTCCGGGGCGTCCGCACCATGGCTCAGCAGTACGCTTACATGGTTGTCCGGGACGTCCGCACCAAGCTTCGGCCTCGGCAAGAGCCTCTCTCTTGCATGGTTGTCCAGGGCGTCCGCACCAGGCCTCAGCATCGCGCTTGCATGGTTGTCCGGGACGTCCACACCAGGCCTCAGCCTCGCGGGCAACGACTTCGGAAACCTCACGGGTCTCGATGTTGAGGGACTCGAGGAATGCATCGGCATCCTCGACGGTCTCGGCAGTAGCCTCGGCAAGATCTCTTGCGAGTCTCTTGGCCTCGAAGCAAGCTCCTCCAACCATGTTGCATCTCTTGATGGCAGCCTCGGAAATATCGGCTTCGGCATCACGTTTGCAAGGTTGTCCTGGGCGTCCACACCATGGCTCAGCGAAAGCCTCAGCGACGGCCTCAGCAGCGCGCTTGTTCTTGTGGCAAGGTTGTCCGGGACGTCCACACCAAGCTTCGGCCTCGGCCTCGGCGAGAGGAGTACGTTTGCATGGTTGTCCGGGACGTCCGCACCAGGCTTCTGGGAGAGCCTCGCGCTTACATGGCTGACCTGGGCGTCCGCACCATGGCTCAGCATCACGCTTACATGGTTGTCCGGGACGTCCACACCAAGCTTCGGCTTCTGGGGTACGCTTGCATGGTTGTCCTGGGCGTCCGCACCATGCCTCAGCGACAGGGGCAGCGACGGCGACGGCCTCACGCTTGCATGGTTGACCGGGTCTAGAAATGTAAGTTAGTAACGAATTCTGTTAAGAGATAGATATAAGGGAAAGGAAGATAATCTTACCTTCCACACCATGGCTCTGGGACCGCAACAGCGGTGGCAGTAGCAGCCAAGATAGCGAGAGCGATTGCGTTTGTGAACTTCATAATGAATGTAGTTTGAAGGTAATTGATTTTTAGAGTGAGTGTGGGTGTGAAATCTTAAAGATTGAATATGGGTAAGGAGAAAAGAAGAATCGTATCAAAAGCAACGAAGTTGACGTGATTTATAGATGATTGGATTTTGCGCTGTTCAGAGTAAACAAGATGATGAACCGGGAACTCCGTACCTGCGAGCCCAAAGAATCTTTGAAGAGATGTCTTTCTATTGAAGATTGAAGAGGAAAATTTCCTATAATGGGTCTCAATAAGTTCGGGGCGGGAGAAAAGGTACTGTGACGACAAAGGCTTTGGAAACAATTCTTTGGGGGGGGGGGGGGGGGGGGGCGAACACTCTATATCCACGTAGTGGGTTCGACATGATGGCCAGAAACTTTGCTGTCCACTCCATGAACAGAGTTTTTACAGAGTTTGAAGAAGCAATCTCCAAATCGATTGCGGAATCGATTATCATCTCAACTTATGGCTCATTGAGCCGATGTCAACTTCATTTCATCTCATGTGTAGATACCCACACCCCTTCGACTAAGGGCAACTTTTCTTAAATTTCCAGCATGATTCACTCACTTTGCAGAAAATTTCTTCTGCATCAGAAGACTTTTCTGACACTAACAGAGAATCGAATCAAAATTTCAAAGAAGACTGTTTCAGATTCTATGGGGATGTACAAAGAGTGAATGTCTCGTGACTTTCATGGAAAAAAGAAGTACTCTATTGAGTACTTCATTAAGATCTTATTGAGTACCCCTTTTGTACTCGCTTAAAAATAAGAAGAGCACAACACACGTTTTTTCCTCATTCATCCCCTCGTCCCACCCAATGAATTGACATACATCAACAGAAAGCGAGTACGAAGTGAAGGAATTTCCTGACTAAAGATGAATCTAGAAGGCATCAAGAAAATTCTAGAACGGGCTTATCACTAGAGCCGCAGGAGCTTGTTTGTTGCATTGTAGACTAACTACTTTCTTTGGTTGATTACATGGAGGCCAAAAGAGGCAAACATGAAGACAAACATGAGGAAACACACGATATTCTTTGATGAGTTGTGATGGACAAGTAGAAGCATAACAATAGCCCCGGAAGTAGCGAGCAAATCGCCACAAGATTAAGGGGCCTAGACGTGTTGAGAGTTTTGATCGGGACGAGAAAGATGAGATATCAAGATTCAGGATTGGACTTGGTCTGATCCATGAGCTTTTACGAAGCGCGTGGGGATTATTTTGGGGTGAAAGAATTATGGCAGAATTGGTGCAATGCTTTAAACAGACCAAACAAACTGAACCTAGGTAACCATTAATTTACTTGGCGTCTACTTACTGCAATGTTAAGATGTTCAAGTGCCAAGGATCCCTAGGGAATCATGTGCAATATGAACACAGCAATAACATACATCCGAACCAAGAACTATGTGATGAAATCTTCAGAACCACCTGCAGCCATTGACTTCAGGGCTATGGAGCTAATTGCCTCTTGAATTGAAATGTAATCGAACTTTTTTCTAAGCTACAAATATTTTGTTACAACATCTACCCAGAATTTTACTATGCTCATCGACCATTCTTCTTATTTCTCCTTGTTGCTTTGCCATTGCCGTTAATTGCAGTGGTCTTAACCTTCTCAAGAACTTCAAAATCATCAGCACCGGAACTGCTGGATGCTTCTTCAACCTCTTCATATTCTTCCTCGACTGGAGTTTTGTTCAAGACGCGACCAATAGTTTTATTGAAAGCGAAGATTGGTAAGCGGAAAAGTGCAGTTTCTCTCATGGAAGGGGCAGGCAGCTCGTCAAGCTAAATTGTAAGTTAGTGAGATATTTTGGAATGAGTTAAGGAGCCACTTACATCAAGCAAAAATTCTTGGGTTTTGCCATCCTCGTCAGCTTGTTCCAAGTAAACATTGTTTGCAGAGTCAACCACGAGAATTTTGCCATTTTCAGCAACGACTCTCTTCTTTGGCCCAGTAATGGAGGTTGGAGTTCCGGGTGCTGATGCCTTAGCCTTCTTGACTTTCTTTTCAGTCTTGTCAGTCTTGGTAAACTTCTCTTGCTTGCGTCGCGCTCTGCGGTTCATTGGTTGCATAGGATCGGCATCACCATCGGTATCGGTTCCAGGTGTAGCGACTCCATCGAGGCCAGGAATATTGAGATTGGGATTTCCACCCCATGCAGCGTTTCTTGCAAATGTGATGTATCTTTCAACAAACTCGCGCTGTCTTTTCCAACTCAAATAGAGCGCGAGGTAATGACCTCCACCTCCAACGAAGATGAAGAGGCCTACAAGCACTGAGCCAAAGCCAGGACGGAATCGAGCATAGTAGTATCCAGTGCCCTTCCACTTTGGAAATCCATTTCTCAAGAAGTGATCATAACGTGCGCGACCCTCTCCCAAAAGAATTTTATTTATGAGACCCAAACGTGTGAATCGATCGCTAGCTTGTTGGTAATGTGCCTTGATTTCAGCTTGCGAAGGACCCTTTGAGACATTGGCACCAGACTTCTTGTTCTTAGACTTTTCGTCCTTTCCTGTAGATTTACCGGCGACGAATTGAGCCTTGACCTTATCAGGATGTTGAGTACGGGACTTCTTCTTGTATGCAGCTCTTATTTCCTCTTGGTTGGCAGATGGTTTGATGTCGAGGAGATCGTAAAATGTAACCTCAGGGCCGTCATGGGTAGCGACTTCGTTCTGCAGACGAAAGATTTCCTGGTCTATAATTTGCTATGAGCTAATTGATCCATTCAAAGTTGTGCAAGACGTAATCAAGGTGAGGAATTGGGTCGAAATTGTCAAATATCAATGGGATGGGCTATATGAGCCAACTCACCTTCTTTACTCCATGCCGCAACAAAGGCCAAAAGGCAGGCCAATATGGCGAAGGTATAGAAAGAACCTCTCATCTTGGTAGAATGAAGAAGAAGTTACGAGTATCGATTAGAAGAAGCACACCGATGATGTGTCCCTTCTGTTATCAATACTTTCCTACTTTCTTATTAAATTCTAGGACCTTTCTTCTGGTGAACGGAATTATATAAAGATGACAGCGAGATTTTTAGGAACCAGACAAGGATGACCGCTTAGTGAAATTCTGGACTTGAGTGGATTTTAGCTCATTGGGTAGACTCGGTATAGGTAGTAGGTACGAAGGTATATGGAATAAGTTATGTTACACCGTCTTCGCCAGCCGGGATCAGTTTGTGTGGGCAGAATGATTCTATTGATGGCAAAACAAAAGCGGTGTAAGATTATTTACTCCATGTACCTCTGTAGGTGTCACGGTGTATAGGTAGGTGTTCTTTGTTAGGCTCAATGAGTTGAGAACAATCATAGCTATTTGCTTAATCATCCATTTGCTTAATCATCCATTTGGTAACAATTCCATAGGTTGAGCGATGGGGGAATCTCATCGTAGTACAATATTATGCATTTTATGTACTTTATGTACTGGATGTATAATTACAATACGGTCTCCAAGGTTCCATGCCTTGCTGTCTCCAATGATGAACAGGAACGAGTGGATAGTCTCGAGATAGCTTCATGCATGATGCAAGTACACGCTTTTCCAATCTGCACGCTTCTCTCTCATCTCTCGTCCTTACTCATCCATCGCCCTTCCAAGTTCTAAATCGGTATTTCTAACCCAAAGCTTCACCGCAACCCATATTAAAATCTGTACTACTGATCCCACTTGGAACTTTTCACTCGTCTTCTTCCCTTCCCCCTTCCCCCTTCCCCCTTCCACCTTCCCCTTCCCCTTCCACCTTCCCCTTCCCCTTCCCCTTCCCCTTCTCAACTCTTGATCTTCTTCTCTTCCAGAAGATCTTTTATCAGAAGTTTGACGAGGGAACTTCTCGAATCTGCATGTGTTTCAGGTCCCTTATTTAACCCCCCTGGCTGAACGCCCGGACTCTTCCTCTATTGAGGCTTTTTCTAAATTCCTAATCTTCCTCCCCGGCAGCTCTTGCTGGGGATCTGATCTTTTCCAGAAGGTGTAAGGGGCCAATCGTTCGTTTGTTTCCTCGAGGGATAAATTTATCACGAAAGTTACTCTACGCAGAGACAATTACCATCAAGTGCATCCCCATCTATTAAAAATTTATCTCTGGAATCTTCATTCACTCCTACACTCACGTACGCAATTCATTCGTAAGTCTTTTCTATCATGACCGATTGATCATATTCATTCATTCGTGATTTCTATCCGGCTTGCATCCATTATCTCCTGCCTATTTGATGACGAATGCTGACCAGAGCTTTTTTTATATTGACAGATCTCTTAAACAAAGGCACTTCAAGGGGAAAAGACTTATCTTCGGACTTCTTACCCAACCTTCTTCCTTCTCTACAACTCCATTGAAATTACAAGAATCTTGAACAATTCTTCAGCGATTCACAAAGTAGTCCTCTATATTCATCAAAGTATCTTCAAACATTTGGATTCTTCTCACCAACAGACACGATGTCTCGGATCAACATCCCCTTCGACATGATTTCATCCAGATTTAATCTGTCCGACAGATTTTCCGGTGTGCGGGCACAATCTCTATCTACCAGATTTGCCAATCTCAAGCCTGTCAATGAATTCTTCGATTTCAAACGCCTCTCCAAGCCGGCAAACTTTGGTGAAGTTCAGTCCAGAGTCAACTATAACCTTGGACACTTCGCCAGCAACTACTTTGCTTTATTCATTATGCTTAGTATTTATAGCTTGCTCACCAATCTCTTACTCTTATTCGATATCATCCTCGCCGTAGGAGGAATGTGGGCTATTGGAAAGCTCGAGGGCCAAGATTTGAACTTTGCTGGTTTCCAAGCTACATCCTCGCAACTTTACACCGGTCTCTTAATTGTCGCAGTTCCTCTTGGAATCATTGCGTCACCATTCACAACACTTCTCTGGCTCATTGGAGCAAGTGGAGTTAGCATCATAGGACATGCCTCATTCATGGACAAACCAATCGATGAGGCTTTTTCCGGGGAGGCGGTCTAGACGGTCGGCCGCAATCTCCCAAATCTATGCCCCAATGGGGAAGACCATCAGGGGCGAAGGGGAGCAGGAGGAGGAGGCAGTGGGAGCAGGATCAAGGGCATTGGCAACAGTCGCGTGTCGAGGAGCTTGATAGCGAGGGTGATACAGATACACAAGGTGTTGGGTTACATTTGGGCGAGAAACGATTTGCAAGCGATCCACTTCATTTCACGGGTATAGATATTTCTTCAAACACAAGGCCTAGGAGAGGTTATTCTTATGATGAGGCCGAGCGATCTTCCGAGTCCGATTCCGATTATTCAGACTACCATGAAGGTGGTGACAAACAATTAGCTTTACGAGGGGATAACGAGGAAGCAATAGTACAAGGTGCTCTAGCTCGTATTCGACGCGCTCAAGACAAGGGAAGACAAGATGTGAAGCTCACGCAAGAAGAGCTTGATGCTTTGGAACGCCGACGAATTCGTATGCAAGCCGCCGCTGCCGCGAAAGCTGCCAGAAAAGGAAGCAGTGGAGGTGGAGCTGAAAAGAAACGACGAAGCGATCGAAAAACTGTTGATATTGCGTCTCTTATGGACCCCAAGCCAGCCAGCGATCCAAAGAAAAGAAAGTCGAAAAGAAAATCTGGTAGTTCTTCACACAGTGCTGCCGCGGGACCTGGAATCATTGTCGATGGACCAGATGGACCCTCGTATACTCCAATAGGTGGTTACCTTCCTTCGGAGAGTGGCACATCTCGTTCTCGTTCATCAGCACGTCATGGCCATTCACCCCCAGGTACGATTCGACATTTCTCTGACGGCATGCGTCCTACTTCCCATAACAGCAGTCCTCGTCGTTCCTTACCCGAAGAAGAAAGCTGGCATTCCACCAATAACAAACGGACTTCTCTTTCTTCTCAATACCATGTTGCTGATCCCTTTGATTACCAGGTTACCGCTGATCAGCCACCACCCGTCCCGCAACAGTACGCACAGTCATCTTCAGGTCGTCATAATTATTCCGGTCCTGCCGATATTTCTTATACTTCCGTTCGACGCAGTCCACCACAGGGCTATGCTACTACCGATAGGATCCCTTCTGATTCATCCCTCAGACATCGGACTTCTCCGAGGGGAGAAAGAGAAGTCATAACTATTCCTGATAGTAGTGAAGAATCAGATTCAAGCGATGAGCTAGCAAGAGGAGTACAAGCTTTTCCGGAGGAACGAGAACGAGTAGTTTCTAGGAGACCTGCACCTGTGATTGGGAGTGGGAGTGGAAGTGGGAGAAGAAAAGGCAAAGGAAGATAAAATTATGGAATCTCGTTTATGAAGCTTTGCAATAAATAGACTTTAACTCTTTGCTTTTCAATAAATTACTTGCCTCAATTGTGTCTTTATGACTATCTGAGTGATGACTTGTGAGATGTAGTATATTGGTATGGATACAATACAGAGTGTCGGGTGGTGGGATTATGCATGTAACATTTATATACGCACCGGCGTGCTACCCACATCTTCGGGCTTGATTGATGGCGATAGAAATACTTGAATCTACAACTATGTGTACCTATACATGCAACTATAAAGAGCAGAGAATTTTGAGTAGGGAAGTTTGTTATGCATTGTATTATGATTGTAATTATAGTTTTATTGATCGGAGTGAGTTAGTGTCGAGAATTGAGAATCATTGTGCCTATTACCTATTACCTATCCCTATTTCTTAAATGTCCCCTATTCATTTCTCTCTCCTGCCTCTCCATCAAATTACTCCCTCTCCCTCTCCCCTCAAACAAACACCCTACTGAAAACTCATTCCCAACACCGCACCCACATCTCCACCCCTCCTATTCAAATCCAAAATCATCTGACCAAACAAACCATTCGCCCAACTAAACCATTGACGACTCCACTGATGCTGATCAAACGAATTGATCGATTCGTGGATGAGACCTAGTCCGTCGGTGCTGCTGACGATTTCCTTGAGGGTGCTGTAGATTTCGGTTGGGGAGGAGGAGGTCAGGATGCGGATTATGCTGGCCATGGGCCAGGCGTGGCCGGGACCGACGTGTGGACCGCCGACGCTGGTGGGGGTGTTAGTGGGGGGAGTGAGGGGAGGGAGAGGGGAGTGAAAAGAGAGGAGATAGACTCACGCGTTAATAACGGGACCGCGCATGAAATAGGGATTATCTTTCGAGAGGATAAACTTGCGGGTGTTTTGATAAATCGTATCATTTACGCTTAGATAGCCTAGGAAAGGAGCTGCGAGGAGAGAGGGAATATTGGCGTCATCCATACGGTTTGCTGATATTTGGTTAGATGATGGCTTTTATTTTAATTTGCGAGTTCGAGAGACGAATGACTTACCAGAACCGAATCCATCGACTTCGTAGGCGTATACTTTTCCGTAGACGGGATCATTTACAATACCGTGCTTGGTGATGGAGGCTCGGATGCTACTTGCGAAGGTGTGCATGTGGTCTGAGAGATCTTGCTGCCCGTAGATTTTGGCCATGATTTTACTGCATGATTCGAGGTAGCGGGAGAACATCATGTTTGCTGGGATGAAGAGTTGGTAGATGGTTCTATTGTAATGGGATAATGTAAGCTTTGCACAACGTCTTTGGTTTTCGAAGGGTACTCACGCATCGTCACTGGGTCTAAATGCGGATCGTATCAGTCCAGTGCCTTCTTGGACGGGATTTCCAGCTCCAGTGTTACCCAGTGTCTCTGTTGAACTGGTTGTCTCTCGTTGCCATGTATATGGACTTGTGTTAACACTGCCATTGGCAGAATAAGTTCCAATCAAGAGTCCCTCCGTTGTGGAAATGATGGTCTTAATAGCGTTGACCCAGTTGAATTTTTGGAAAAACGCGATATCCCCCGTAGCATCGTAATAGTCGCTTGAGATCTCCAAGAATGCAGCCAAAGAGTCTAATTCATATTTGCATTCAAAGACAATGCTGGTGGGTTCGGCGGGAGTAAAGTTATCTGGGTTTGCTTGGTTTTGTTGTGGTGGAATTCCACTTTCGGTGGGTGCTTGGAAGGAATTGCAGTATGGTGCTTCGAGAATATATCGAGCTTGAAGATTGATGACTCCTCGATAGAGACTTGCAAGGGAATCGTGAGACGAATCATTCGTTAACAATGGCAAGTAACTTTGCATCTGGTTTGCTGAATCTCGTAGCCACATAGCATCGATATCTCCCGTGATCAAGAATGTCAATTCTTCTTCCGCGTTATCTGCTGCATAGCCTCTCCATTTCACAGCTGTATCGAGAGAATTGGGAAATGAGTTCTGGAATATGCGGTAGAGATCAGGGTCTGCAATCACCGACTCCATATCGCTAATGGTTTTCTCTACAATTGAGGAGTTGAAGGTCCGACATGCCGGTTCTGGTCTCATCCATGATAATGCATATTTCCCACTGCTCAGAGGTGGATGTTGTGTGAGGGAATATTGTAAGTAATCTGGACATTGTGCTTGAGCTGTAGAGAGCAAGAATGTAGCCGTAACGGCGACATTATTAGAGGAGACTCTCATGATAGTTTGGAATACTCTAGAACCTCTGATTTGAATGGATGTTCTAGACTTGAAATAATTGAAAAGAGGAGAATTGGTGTACTTATTCCCTACAGTAAGTGCATGTAAATCCTAACCCAGGCAACCTCTGAAGGGATATGATCGTATATACATGTATGTCTGGCCAATATCGGTTAATCAGGTACGAGTTGTATTGAGTTGTTTACCCCGCGATCTCCTCCCAATTCACCACACAAACATGCCGGTTTAAAAACTATTCAATGGCGCGTGAGATCATTATGCTTTTGCAAAGCTCCACGCGTGACTCAAAAGAGGAAGGCGTAAAGTCTACGACCGGACGATTCGTTGCAATTTCATCGATTCGTCCATACCCATGTCAGGGCAGATGCAGACCAAAAGGTCATTTGCTATCCATCGGAGGGATAATGGCACAAGAGATGGACTACTAAACAGTGAACACCTTGTTTGCACAACTGCACTTGCTTGTTGTCATTGTGGTGCTCTTAGTCAAAAGGTTGTGATCTGCAAGAGTTTGCGGGGTTGTGCTTCCTTGGCATACGAGCATACTTCGCGGTAACATCTGCCCGAGCCGAGATATTGGTGAATGGTGTGGTTTAATTCCCGAGAAAGTCCCGGTTGATACTTTCGTTTTTGTTGTTAATTTGTATCTACGAGCTCACCTACCTACCTTGGTTGAAAGTAATAAGAGAGGGACCTCTTGTGATATCTGATAGTCGGGTTCTTCAAGCGGCCGACTATCAATATTTAGAGTGTGAGGTGTTGTCTCAGAACCGCAATATCTACTACACATGTAGTTAAGCTTTCACGACAGTGTTTGTACAATGAGAGAAGTATTGATGGCTGCAAAAAGAGACAGCCGTGTTTGTGTGTGGTGTGAGAGTAGGAATGTACCAGATTATGATCGTGATCATCTCTTCTGTATATGGAAATGGTGGCAGATGAGTTTACAGCTGCCCTAGTTTTATACTAATAGGTTGCACGACTTTGTAGGAATAGTTCAATTTGTATGTGGAACTTCGTATGAGCGTGTTCATTGTCATTGCCATTGGCATTAGAGATAGAGTAGGAGCTGGTGTTGTCTGTATCGTCGTATGGGTGCACAATGGTGGTTCGAGATTCGAGGCATTCTAGTAGACGGCTTCTGTTGAGCAGGTAGCACTAGCTTATCGTCAAGAGCAGGGCAGGGATTATTTGAATCAAACACACAATCATACTCCGTACAATACTGCACATCTTTTAAACCTATCTAGTAGCTACCTAGCATCTATTGATTTTCTATCATCACGAAAAGGCAACTCTCACACATTGTCATTTCTAATTACCTCTCATTACTTATTATACATCTCAATGAAATGATTGACTAAACTGTGGAAATTTACGCTTCGCGACTTTTTATATGCGCACGCGTAGTGGGGTTGATATAAAAAAGATCTCGAGCTTATTGACATATGATT